GGTCAGGGCAGGTGTGGGGAGTTCTTCTGTCCCCCCTCTCACCTTCGAGGCAGCAAACCCAGGTGTCCTGGGACCCCACTCGGCCTCTCCTCATGCCCAGTGCAGATCTTGCCATCTCGTCGCTACAGCGCTGCTGTCCCACCCAGATGGGGTCTCATCATCCTTCCTCACTCCCCGCTGGACACCTGAGCGAGGGGACCCATCCTGCCCGGGCCACATTGCCCGCCTGCTGAGAACTGGACCGGCGCGGCGGCTCTCCCCGCTAGGAAACGCCGGACCCGAGCCTCAGAGGTACAACCGACATCCCATTCGAGCTTTGCATCTGCATTGCTCAAGTGCCATCCTTGTTTCCGAAGCAGGGGAAGGAACCGGGACGTTCCTGCGGGCAGGGGAACGGTGGTGGTGGTGGTCAAAAAGTGGATGGCGTTTCCTCCGTTCCACCAAGGGCTGGGTTTTCTGGGAGGACAGAGCAGAATGGGGTGGGGGTGGGTGGGGGAAGAGAGAGACATTTTGCTGCAAAGCATGACAGCCGGCGGGTGCAAGACCCAGACATCTGGCTCTTCAGACTGCGTGGATTCAGACCGCAAATGGTGTCCCTGAGTCTGGGGTATATTCTGCTAACGCCGCATGTCTCCCCTCCAGCGTGGTTTTATTCCAAGCCTTCCTGTCTCCCTTGAGCGATGGGGGCCGGGACTAAATCGGAGAACAGGAGGACCATCGAGGATCCCTGGAGGTTCCTCTCAACCAGCACTGGATGTAAACTGCACGTTTTGGGTGAACACTGGCCAGAGGACATCCACCGGTTCAGAGGGGAGGGAAGCGATCTTCCTGGCAGTCTTCGAGCAGCGGCTGGACGAAAACACTTGTCCAGGAATGCTCTCAGCTGATCCTGAATTGGACAGAGGGTTGGTGGTTGCAGGCGCCAGATGGCCCTTCCAGCTCTATGGTTCTATGGTTTATCTTGGAAAATCCAAACTCCTCTGCAAGGGTCAGGTTCACCAAAGTTGGGAGGGGGGGCACTGTGATATCGGGTGGGAAGATCTGCAAGCGGAGGAGCCAAAAAAGAGAAAGGGTCTCTGTCCCCCCCAAACGTGATGGCCGGCCACAGAGCTTCAGGCTTTTAAAAACGAGCCATTCGGTATTTTCCTTGCCGATGTGGAAGACTGTTAGAGGTTGGCCCCTTTTCACTGATTTGCCATGTTTTAAATAAATGACAGCGTTCCGTGCGCCTTGGTGTTTAGTCATGCCGGCCACATGACCACGGAAACGTCTTCGGACAGCGCCGGCTCTTCGGCTTGGAAACGGAGATGAGCACCGCAACCCTAGAGTCGGATTCGACTGGCTTTCGAGCAAGGGAGACCTTTACCTTTAAATAAATGACAGCAATCTGCAATGCCTGCAAGAAGACATTCTAGATAATGTATTTTTAAAGAAGAGTGGCTAACCTGTAGCGGCAAGAACACAAGAGCATGGCGACAACTTTGCGTAGATCTACACCAAAAATCTAAACCGGTTCAATAATTCTCCCCCCCCCCTTCTTGGGGAAGTCTGGGAACTGTAGTTTTGTGACGAGGAGGGCTGTAGGGAATCTCAAAGAGAGACTTACCACAACCACAGAACTACAGTTCCCAGGATTCCTTGGGAGGACGATCCGACGGAGAGTTATAAAACCAATGTGTTTGCCATGTGCAAAGGTTCTTAGAGGCCAGATAGGTTACTATGGTGGGAAATTCCATAGATATCAACTGGATTCATTTGTCAGATGCCTGAAAAGGACTGGAACAAGGTTAAGCCTGGAACACGTGAAGTACAGAGTCCTCTGGTCATGGGCAAAGTGCTTTTCCCTTCCCATGGCTGGCCCTGCAGACGTGAAGGGCTTCTGAATGCGTGCATGGGTCAGGTCTGTCAGGTCACTTCTGACGTATGGTGTGACCTTGTGAATTAACATTCTCCAAAATGTCCTATCATGAACAGCCTCGGTCCAGAACTGGGGCAGGCAAACTCCGTTGCCAAGCCGAAGAGCCAGCGCTGTCCGAAGACGTTTCCGTGGTCATGTGGCCGGCGTGACTAAGCGCCAAGGCGCACGGAACGCTGTTACCTTCCCACCGAAGCGATACCTATTTATCTACTTGCAATTTCTTGCTTTCGAACTGCTAGGTTGGCGGGAGCTGGGGCTGGAGACGGGACCTCACTCCGTCGACTCGGGTCTCGAACTGCCAAGCTACAGACCTTCTGGTCTGCAACTCTGCGTCTTAACCTCTGAGCCACCGTGGCCCCTTGGACATCAGTAAGATATAATGCCATAGAACCCACCCTCCAAAGCAGTTATTTTCTCCAGGGAATGTTTTCTTAGTAGTCTGGAGATCGGCTAGAATTCCACGAGATGTCCAGGTTCCCCCCGAAGGTTAGCCACAAATCTGTTGTCTTTGTCTGGCCACCCCTATAATAGTGTGCTACAAACCCAACAGTCAAGATTCTAGAGTC